AAAAAAAAAAGGAAAGGCAAATTTTTTTCAATTTAAGTAAATAAAAGAAGAAAACTGTTTAATATAATTTAAGCACTTCTTCGACATTTGCAACAAAATTTCATTCATACTACAAAATTAAATTCATTTCTCTATTTTTACATTTTTAAATGAAATTATTTCCAATTTAAGTAACAAAATGCTGAGTCTTTGCCTTCACAGCCCTCACAGTTACTTAAGTTTTTGTTTTATTAAATTTATGAGCACACACACAGACACATTCCCTTTCATAATGCTACCTAAAAGCTGCCTACAATAAGTCACTGTCATAAGCTGGCCCTATGTGTGTGTGTGTGTGTTTGTGTGTGTGGGCGTGTGTAAAAAGAACCGCAAGTGGCAGCCACAGTGATTTCGAAGGTAACTTTTGTGAATTTTATCGTGATTTATTAATGCTGCTACATTTGACCAAGTAGATTCGCAAATTGCCCAACACTTTTAGCAGACCTTTGGCAACACTTTCTTGCTTTCGGCTTGGGCTTGATTTGGGCAGCAAACGCGTCTGGAATACATGCATAAATATTAATTAAATTCTGTTAACATTTGCCCACCAGGAAATCACACCCCTGGCGCACATTTCAAAACTGGTCTCGTTAAGTCTAGCCACGCCTACAATTAAAAGCAGCCCCCAGCTGGCTGGCCCACCCCACAAGACTGAGAGAAAACTTGAAGCTGAAATTATTATAAGCGCTTATAATAGATTATGTCAAAAACTCTCACTCGCGCACAACTTTGCCAGCGAAAAGTCAAGCGGGGCATAGAAAACGAAAAACGAAAACGAAAAAAAAAAAAACAAATAAAAGGAAAATGAAGAAAATTGTTTAAAATTAATTTGAAAACATAAAATGCTTGCAGCAATGGAACATGGAACTCGGAGCTATGAGCTTGGAGCCTCGGGTCTTATGTACTAGAGACTGGATATTACAACAACAACAACGACAACAAAACGGGAATTCCATCCTCATTTGTTGTGTGTCACGGACAGCGTTCAGTTTGAAACAGTTCGACAAATTTGTTGGCCAGCCCAAAAATGTTTGGCCATAAGTTTCCTTTGGCTTTGGCTGCTCTCCTTATTAGTGACTGGCAAATGGCAGCCGAGCGTTGTATAATGAAGACTTGAAGACTTTTGCGGTTATGCTTGAATTCAATTCTCAAATATTTCATGCAATTTTCATGCAATTTTCTTAGGAAAACTTTAAGTTATATTCCATCAGTTGAAGTGAAATGCGTGAGTGAATTCATTATTTGGCTTGAACACAATGGCTTTAAGCCACTCTCGTTCGCTAAGCCTATTTTTCATTAATCTAATTAAGCCACGTAGTCGATAAGCCTTATGGCCAGGGCCAATCTAATGAAATTATGCCTCAGCAGCCACACACAAATACGCACACACACACACGCGCACACACACACAGGCACACACGCATACATATATACACTCAACCACTCAGCAGTGCGCAGACATGCATTGTTTGACCTCCTGTCTTAATATTATTGATTTAGCGTATTAGGTTCAATTAGCTGCTGAGGAATTTTGATGGCATCATCAAAATGGCAAATCATTAGCAACATTTCAAAGTGAAAGCGTTTGTAACGAAGCAAATATGCAATTATGAATGTCTATAAATAGAATTGCCAAAGCATTTAAATTTTATTAAATATCCGAATATTTGTTCAAATGGAAGCCTGAAGCAGTTTTTATTTGATGTTTTGCTATTTTTTCAGACTGCGACTTTATAATTGTTTGACTTTATAATTGTTTGCTATTTATAGAGAACTTCATTGAATTGATTTCTTGAACCTACTCTTAAATGTCTTATACTGTCTATTGTTTTATACAAAGTTTAAAATAAAGCTTTAATAAAATTCGATAAATTCAACATTTAGGAGGCAGAAGCTTAAAGCCCTGCGCCGATTTTTTCAAGCTGTATGTGCTTTGAATTAAACTCTTTTATTTACGAATGTTTTTATTTTATTTATAATTATTCCATCAGACGATGAAAGGACCAAGTAAATGATTTATTATCAGCACTACAAAATAATATGTATATATAGTATTATCTAATTACTGAGCTCTGACTTATTCAGTATTCCGTAAAAAATAAATATATTTTATTTTATTTTATTCAATATTCCTTTTTTTAATAAACTTTTTCTGTATTATTTTGAATTTTATTTCGACAAGAAAATTTAAAAATAATTATGGACAGAATTCCTTATGATCGTAAACAGAAGCAGAAATCATATATTAAATTAGATATATAACATTATAATATTTTAGATAGTACTTAATATAATTAATATAATTGATTACAATTCTTAAAATTAATTATATAAAAAATATATACATATATATCTCTTAAATAAAAGATCAACCTTCAATGCTTCCAGCTGCATTTTAAGAATTTTAGAGCATCCATTTAAATTGAAAAAATAACTGCAAAATATAATGGAATTTTAAAACAAAAATTTTTGAATTTATTTCCTAAGAAATCATATTCATTCAAAATATAATTCAGACAAACAATAACTGAATATTATATTGTTAACTCGAAATGAAAGGTCAGCTAAATGTAATGTTGAATAAATAAAAAATACAACCTTTTTTTAAGAAGAAGAAGAAGAATAAAATGACAAACAAAAGCAACGTCAGAGCAGGCAAATATCCCTGGGACGCCTAAAAAGAATGCCACAGTTGAGTTGAGAGAGCCAACAGGAAAGTGCGATAAATAAAGCACAGGAGCTGCGAGAGGCAGAGACCAGAGCCTGAGTAGATGATGGCTCAGGCGACATTTGCATTCAAATTCTGTTAGCGTGCGCGTTAGCCAAGAAGTGCACACTAAATGCTCGCAGCCGGACTGAAAGTATGCTTTCAATTGTGCGCAATTTAGTGCAAGGCGCACAACAACAGCGACTGTGCGTGCGTGTGTGTGTGCGTGTGTGCGTGCGTGTGTGCGTGCGTGTGTCTGCCTATTGTATGAGTGCTGTTGCCGTGCAAGCGCTTGACTAGGTGCGAACAAACGTGCGAAAGCGTCTAAAAACAAGCAACACGAAGTGCCTGAAACACGCGTCGCTTTAGTCCTATTACCCGCTCTTCATACCCTCCACACAGACAAGTGCAATTAAAGTGGGCATGATGTGAGTATGTGATGGTATGTAAGAGATGAGAGGCAGCATGAGGAAAACCTTACAAATGTATGATAAACTAAATTTATATTGTGGTTTATTTTTACAATTGTATATAATTAAATATTAAAATATTTTATATTTTAAAATATGGTATTTAATTGTTTCTTTTTTTTTTTAGATATAATAAAATCATATGCAAATATTTATACTAAAATGATGTAATAAAACAAATATATTTAAAAATTATATTTAAATGTTGCTTCTTTTTTTTAGATATAATAAAATCATATTAAAATTTAATTTAATACATTCAATTATCATAGGAAAAATAAATCATTTAATATGTTTCCCCACTCTATTATTTATAGGTTTTATGTAATGTGAGTAATATGAATTACAAATTATGTTTTTTCTTGTCTTTATCCCTTAGAATTTTGAATTCCTGGAATATTCATATATTGCCAAATTCACTACAAAGATTGTTCACTTAAAAATCATTCAATTTAGTAAACAAACTAAAATAACTTTTACTTAAGTAATTTTCGCATTCCCCAAATCCAAAACTATTTACAGGATATTCGCCAGTCTAGCAGAGCTTACACTGGATACGTTTGGTTAACTCTGCTGCGCTGCCGACGACGACGCCGACGTGGACTGCGACTGTGATTACGATTATTATGATTATTGTTTACAACAGCCAAGCAGGCAGCTGGGCGCTCGAGTATAAAAAGCAAATGCAAAAATAAAAACAACAAGAGCCAAAGCAAATAAACATAATAAAAGTTCATAAAATAAAAATGGCAACCCTAGCGCGACGCGACACGTCGCGACGTTGAGCAGCAGCCCTACTCCCAGTTGGGGAATACCAACAACAATGCGACACGGTGCGCGCTAGTTTTATGTGCCACATAAACATTTCGCACCTGCACTGCCCGCCCGCCCCACCTTTACAGTCTCTGGCTGCGCTCTCGCACCTTTGCGTTTCGCTTTTTGTTGCCTGCTTTTTGGCGCGCATTTTATTGCTTGTCCTTACACGCCACCATTTGCGTATACCCTGTAGAGGCGCCCCTGCACCGGGTGACATTCATTAAATCATGTAATAACTTTCATTTTTATAAATATTGTGGAGTTAATGATATTCAAAGATATATATAAAGATATAAAAAATATAATCATTTAATTTCACGTATACTAATAATAATAATTAATTTTTAACTTTCATTTTTTTAATAAAAAAAATTAGTATAAATTTTAACTTAATTTAATTTTACAAAAAGCATTTAATTTTTTTTTTCAGTAATGCATTTTTTTTTATTTATTTATTAATTTTATTTATTATTATTATTTTTTTTTATTTCTTATTTTTTTTTTCATATGCGTAAATTTTATTACATAATAAACGATATTATTTTGTTGATCTTTCAATTTTCTTGTTACTAAAAACCATTTAAAACGTAAATCCTTTAATTCTGTTGAAAGTATTTGAGAGTTTAAGCTAATTATTGTTTATTTATCATTTTTATTTTGTTCAAAAAAAATATATATATATATTTAAAATTTTTTAATTATTTAAGGATTTATTTGAGAGTATACAAATATTTATTAAAATTGATTAAACATTAAATTAATTTACAAAGAAATAAATAGATACAATAAAAAATATAAATACATTTTTTTAATTATTTTATTTATTTTTTAATTTATTAACTCGACTTTACTGCTTTTAAGTGCTATCTGAACGTCTAGCATAAATATATTTGCTGCTGTAACTGGGCCCTAAACAATAAACTCAAGAGTGAAAACATTTGCGAAATAGAAATTCCAGCTCCACCAACCTGTTTCAGTGTGTTGTTGTTCCTTTGAGCCAGTTCGGCGTCCACCGTGTTGAATTTGTTTTTGTTACGGCAAAAATGAAAGTAGCAGCCGCCAAGTGGGCAGCACTTTTTATTTTATTTATTTTTTTATATATTTTTGGTTTAACAGTAAGCAATCAGCTGTTGCTATTGTTACTAGTAAAATAATTTTTCTTATATTTTTTGGCAATTATTTTGAATTGGCAACGCTGCAGCTGCAGGCGAAATAGCTCCAAATCTTTGCTTGGTCAGGCAACACTGGATATCTTTACAGCTATTTAACACTTTTTTGTTGCTGTTATTGCTGCTGTTAACAAATTTGGTGGGCAGCAATGTTTTTTTTTTTAATTTTTTTTTTTAGAACTTCGCGAACGTCGCGTAAAGGAAACGGAAACCGGAAATTGCGCGCACAACAAGCAGTAGCAGCAGCGGCGACAGTTGTTGTTGTTGTTGTTGTTTGGCGTTTCAGTTGTTGTTGTTCGCTATTTACTCACAATTGAAACCGCAAACTCCCGTTGAGCTCTTCAGAGTTTATGCGTATTTAAATATGCTTGCAATGCAATTTATTTTGATTTTTAAATAATACACACGCACACAGTGACACTGGCGCACTCACACACATACACACACACACGCGGGCACAGAAGTAAACAAGACGGAAGAAGGACAGAGTAAGAGAGAGCGAGAGCGACAGAGACAGAGACAGAGCAACTGAAACGAGCGCGGGCAATTAATTATGTTTGCCTTGTTGTGCCGCGTGTTTATTGTGCATATTTAACATGTCAAGCGTCGAACTTTTTAATGAGTTTTTCGCGCGCGGCGCCAAATATTGCAACGCTCAGCTCGTCAGCTTAAATATTATACTTTGATTTCTGTTGCCTCTTTGTCGCGCATTTAATTTAGAGCTGGCACGCGGAAATGATTCGCCAAAAAATTGCAACGCTTGAAACGCGCTTACGATTGTTCTCCGATTTTCGCGTAAGAATTTAACGTATCAATTCAAATCGCACACGACACACGTCCGATGCTAACGACAAACGCTCGCAAACTAACGTACCAACAAGACGGAACGGATGGTAGCTAACGAAACATAATGCTGCCTAGCATAACAACGAATGTGCTGTTTCCAGTGAGCGTAAGCACTTTCCTTAGTTCCTTTTCATTTCCAATTGGTTCGCTCTCGTCAGTCGTGCTCACGTTCGCGCTCTCTCTCGCTCTCTCCCTCTGCTGAGGTCTCTGTGTTTCGTTTCGCCAGCTGGCGCACTCTTTGCATTTCGTCTGCTATTAGCCGGTTTTTGTTTTTGTTTTCGTTCATGCACGCCTTTGTCGGCATTTGCAGCGACATCTGACTCTGCTGCTGCCAGCGTCGCTGCTGCTGCCGACTGCAACTCTGCATTGATAATAAATTAGAGATCAACGTCGACTGAGGCCCGCGTGTAGGTGTGCAAAAGGTAAATTTAATGGAAGTGTTTGTTTTGCCTTTTTTGCTTCGCATTCAATGCGTTTACAGTAGCTGCTGCCTGCGTTGGCTTTGCTGACCCTACGACAAGTACACACCTGTTGTGCAGGTGAGTTTGGCGTAATATGCACTAGGGGAATACTACAGCAAGGTATTTTGATTTTTCTGCCCACTTTGAATCTGTTTACCAATATTGATATTGATCTATAAGTAAAACTAAATATATACAGTAATGTTTGTATGTAAATGTATATATAATGCACATGTATATGTATATATATGCATATACTCTCTCTTAATACTCACATTCATTTGGTGCCGTTAAATTTAATTGTAAAACCATTAAGACCCGCACTCTATTAACTAACTATCTGTTATCCACATTTTAAATCACTTTATATACATACACACAGACACACACACACACATAGACACTTTTGTCTCCATCGTCACTTGCTCAATTAGCTGCTGAATTGTTTTTCACACTAGCTGCAAAAGTAAAACAAACTCCATGCCCGACTGAGAGTGTGGAACATTAATCATGGAAAACACCCTTCGAATTTTAAATAAATAATTGTTAGTTCTCTGTTTGCAGATGCCAAAATGAAGAAGAAGAAGTAGAGGAAGAATGCTCAGCGTGGGCTTCGAAACGCATTTCTGTCGCGCCTAAACATCATTAAAAATAAAACCCAATTAACGGTTTCGAGTGCCAGCAACAACAAAAGAAGAGAAAGGGAGAGAGCTGGAGGAGTCATTCCTCATGTACATGCTTCCAAAAATAGTTTGGCAAAAATATGTGAAAAATGAGCGGAGCGAGGAGAGTGGAATGGGACAAAAATGTCATTGGCATTGCACACACACCAGCACACGCAGAATCATACACACACACACACACACAGTTTTCGAGTTGTTAGTGTTGCTGTTGCGGTCGCATTGTTTTTGGCTTGGTATGAGTTTGGGTGGTTGGATTTCTCTGCCAGGGGTAGCTGCGCTGCATCTGCTTGACAATCCATAAGCAATTGTTGTTGCTTTCGTTTTCGTCTATTTTTTTCTTTTGTGTGTAATATTGTAGCTCACGTTAATCCGCCGGCTAAAGCAAATGCAACCCTGAAGGGCCAACGCGGACTTAAGAGCTCTAGCTTTAATGGGTTGCAGGCGATGAGCTAGCACAATTTGTTAAACCAAAGGGCGATACTGCTGGATGTTGGAGACTGATGAGCTGAGCTCAATGGAAATTGAATTGGCTGATTAAAAGTGCTGCGAATAAATTGTTGCGTTTTGTTTATGTTTTTGCAAACTCTCAACTGAGGTTGACCCTTCGCCCCATTCAAGCAGCAAAAGCGCAACTAATGCTGCTTTGATTCGTGTGTGTGACTGTGTGTGTGTGTGTGCATTCATGCGTTAAGTGTGTGAGAAATATTGTAATCGCATTTAAGGTGCCAGTGACACAAGTGACTTGGCAAAAGTCTGATTCGAAAAGGAATGCATTGCACATTTCGAAATTAGCTGACAACACTGCGCAAGCTAAGAGCACGTGCTTTCACTCTCTTAAATGCTCGGTCCACTGTTGGCACTCTCTGCGCAGCCTTCCAGTGAGTGCGGGCAGTAAAGAGAAAGCTTTGCGCGCTCTCTTGCTAATCAAGCGTCGGCGGCGGCGTCGGCATCGGCAGCGGCAACAACAAAGCAAAACATAAGCCAAGGACGCTACGCAAGTTAAATTTTAAAAACTGAAGAAGAAGAATTTATGCACAACATTTGAAGCATTACAAAATATATGCAACAACAACAACAACAACGACAACACGGAGAGAAGAACAACAACTAAACACAAATCACGCAAATATAATTTATTATTTTACGCCTTATCCTTGAGCCGCAGCCAAGGCGATGTGTTTGTCTTTGCCTCTGCCCAGCTGCCTAGCCCCCACTCCAGGCCCGCTCACTCTCTCACGCTTACGCCCCGTCTCTCTCCCGCTCACTGTCACTCACCATGTCGCCTCTTGTTTCTTTGCTTTAGCTGCTGCTTGGCAAAATTCTATGCTTAACGCCATTTTTGTGTGCGAGACACGATGACGACAAATTTTCAACGTGCAACCTGACACTGAGCTGAGATTTTCGAAATTCCTTGCCTTCACTGCCAGCCAGCCAGCCAGCCGGGCGAATCCATGTCTCTAACTCTTCTTCTTGTCTCTCGGCTCCATGATTGCTGCATGCATGCAAAACTGCTTCACGACTGGGAGTCGACTGTTGAAAGGATTAGATCCAGGCTCATGTGGGTGTGTGTGTGTACCACTTCCTCTCCCTCTCCCTCTCCCAGAGACACACGCCCACACTCTGTCTCGCTCTGTCTGATTGCATGCCAGACAGTGGAGCGCGTGGGCGTTTTTCGACGGGGTGGCAACTACGTAAAAAGTATTTGCACAACTCTCAAGTGGGTCAAATGATTAGGCGGCATGATGAAGTGCCTTTGCCACTTGAGCCGGCACACCCACCCATGCGAGTGCAAGGGAGACGGAGCGATGCCACCAAAGACAGCGTCGAACGCCCATCCAAAAATAAACAGTTTAATGTTTTGAATGAGCAATTGAATTTGATTATGCACGAATGTGTGTAAGTGTGTGTGTGTGTGTGTGTATGTGTGTGTATGGTAGCCAGAAGGATGCCTCGACTGCTGCAGCTGCTGGAAGAGAAACAAACTGCGTGCAGCTCTTGGCAATGTGTTAAGCAAATGCACTTCGCAGCTGATGGGGAGAGGAGGTGGAGGGAAGATGGAGGAGGAGGAGGCGGAGGAGGAGTGGCAGGTTTACAGGCACTGCACTAAATGTGATAAAAGAGCTTACGTGACATTAGATAGCACCTTACGTGGGATTACGTTGCACGTGATTACGTTGAAAATTGACAAACATATTACGTAGTTAACAACCGTTAGAGAGAGGATTAGATACCACGCAAGCTTTGATTAGTATATAGTCGCATTTAGCTGCGATACTTGAGAGTGAGTGGTAAAGTGAAAGAGAGAGAAAGTGAGAGAGAGAGAGAGAGAGAGAGAGAGAGAGGAAGAATACATTTATTATGCTGTTACGTTTATCGTAAGATAAAATACTAAAATAATTTGTTTTTAAAGTTGATCAACTATGCATAAAATTACTAAGTCAATGTTTGGTATTTTAAAAATACGAATGAATTTATTTTAATATAATCATTTTATAAATAATATAAATATATATACATATATAATACTTTAAATTAAGATGTAAAATATAAGATATGTACCCATATTATATTTAAATTATCTTTAATATCAATATACATACCTTTTATTTTATTATATTATAATATTAAAATAAAAAATTTTAGGAATATATTTTATAATATTTATTTAGAGGTTTCTTAAGATTTTAAAAAGTTTTATAACCATTGTTCTAATTAATAAACTATATATATATCTAATATTTAACGTGTCTATATATGAAGTAATATATTATATAATATGTATGTCCATAACATATATCATACTCATGTCCTGCCTTATCTTTCCCATAAATGAAGCAAGGAAAAAAAATGCAAATCGAATAGAGTCCCAAACTTATCATCATACACAACCTTTACAATGAGCTACGAATAGTTTTTGCGTCATGCTTACCTGCTGAAACGATGCACGTGAAAATATAAACAGTTATTGTCGTACCTAACTCATGAGTCCCTGGCCCAAATATTTCAACTTTCATTACATGCTGTAGGTCCAAGCAGGCCAACAACAATGGCCTCGGCAGTAGCAACAGCAACAGCAACAGCAAGAGGAAATTGCTACTTAAATTCAAAGCCAATCTCTGGCAAAATGTTGCAAAAAAAAAAAAATGGAAAAAGAGAAAGAAGAGAACCCAAGCCAACAAGATAAAAGCCGAGCACAAAAACCCAGCCCAACCACAAAACAAAGGCACACAAAATATGGCTGGCTGTCTGTCTGTTCGTCCCGCCGTCTGTCTGTTTGTCTCACAACAACAACAACGAGCAGGAGCAGCAGCAGCATCAGCAGGAGCAGGAGCCGAAGCAAGAGCAAGCCCAACAAACGGCGTCGACATTTAACGTTTTAAATCTGATTATTCCACAACAACTGTCAATAATGCAAACTGTTTAACCCCCCTCCCCTCCTGGCCAACTCCTCCCTGCCCATGGCACACACCACTTAAACCTCAGATGAGCTAAGCCCGCCCCATAAATGAGCGGCTGCCTATCCTACCTATACAGCAATTGTGAGAATGCTGATGCTCTCTGTCCCTCTCTCTCCCTCTCCCTGTCCTCGCTCCTCACGGTTGCATGTAAAACCGCAAACGACGCGAGAAAATTGTCACCAGTCAAAAAAACAAAAAATGAAAGAAAAAAATTAAAAAGAGTGAGCAGAGAATAAGGCAGAAAAGGAGGCAGGCGAAATGTGTAAATCAAAAAAATAATTGCAACTGATAACAACATCAATAACAATGAGCCGAAACGAGAGTAGAGACCCAACCCGAAATTCCTTGAGAGGTATTCGTGTCCTCGGCTGAGCAACGTGCCGAATTACACACACATAACAATAAAGGATAAACGATAAAGGATACAGGATAA